ATTACTTGAGCAGGGGAGGCAACACGCCTGCCAACCTGAAACACCTGCAGTGCTCCAGGTGGCAGCACTTCTGAAGAGGAAGAACGCACTGGCCTCTTTCTGAAAGAGTTGTCTCCTGAGATGTCTGGAACTAAGCACAGATGACTCAAAATGTTAAAAACCCAGTAGTTTATTTCAAAGTATAAATTTCAGGCTTGTCAGACAAAACCCCACTACAGTTAACACAGACACGCACACTAATCTACAGTACATACAAAAATGGGGAGAGCTTGCAACTGCCCAGTTTAAATTGGACATTAAATCAGTCCTATGTTTTTTTGTATTTACAAGTCCACCCGCAAAACAAAACAAGAAATCAGGTTCTGAGTTTCCTAACAACGATTTTGCACGTTTGACTCCTAATAGCCAATAAATTACTAAAGCTGAACAGGACTCCCCAAACAGCTACTACCCAGTTGTCTTATTTACAGCTATACCCCATTAAATTAAGACAGCACTTCAAACATATATATATGTATGTATGTATATATATATGAAAAAGAAAAAAGAATGCTCAGCCTGCGTAATGACAATGAGAAATAAAGATGCATTGTAACAGGTACTTAGAGGGGATGAAAAGGAAAATTCATTCATTTGCTTTCTCTTAGCTATCCTTATTTTTTTCTTTCTCCCCTCAGAAGGTGTTTGGAAGGGAATACAGATTTTGGTGGCAGGGCTGGCTCAGTGTCATTTGAACTCCTCTCCCTCCAGTGTTTTCATTCAATGCCCACCCCTCTCTAAACCAAGAAATTAAAAAAATATATATTTAATATATCAAGCTTCTATTTAAAAAATCTGGATAGATATTTTTGACTAAATGAAAATACTAAAGAGTTTATAAGAAGGCAGAATCACAGCTTGATTTTGTACAGTGTATGCAATACTCTAATACTGGGGAATGGCTGTTCAGGGAGCAGGAACAGATTTGGCCTGTCCCTACATATAATACAGATTCTAATTTATTGGACATTTAAGACAAACAGCATAAAGGAAGGGCTGAAGTGACTATTTTTGTTACAGTACAAAACAGTGCTCGGATCCTACTATTGGGCCCAATTGTGCTCCCACTGAAGGCACGAGGGGTTTTGCCGTTGTTTTCAAAGGAAGCCAGGTAAGACCCCTTATTTTTACAGGGAAGACACCACAGGCATTTCCAGCGTTGTGCTAAAACCCTTGGGATGGGTGAGCGTCTCAGTGCTTGTGCTCAGGGATCTAACATGGCCAACGGCAGCACAAGTACTTCGAAGGAGCAAAGGCCAAGGCCGGCTGCTACTCCTGGGGAAGCTGGTCAGAGCGTGGAAATAAAGACGGGCTGAGGGGAACCTGCCTCTGCACCCTCACGTTTTCTGAAGCTGCCACTGCAGATACAGTACAGACGCTATGCCTACAAGTCTGCCCCCTTCCTAGCATTTAGTTGTTTGAATTCAGTAAAGCTTTTTTAGACATACACTAAAATAAAGGAGGCTAGTGGAGCCGTGACTAGGAGGAACGCAGTGGAAAGGAATGGCATTTTGCCATCGGCACTCCACAGCAGGGCTCCTCTCCAACTAGAAACTGAACTAACTCAAATTCCTTTCAACCTGGACACCCGGATGCCCTTGTATCACACAGAGAAAACAAACCAAAACTAAAACAAACCGGCAAGTAAATGAGGATGGAAAACACCGCTGTAGAATCAGTGCTGTGTTTGCTAAAACACAGGAACTGGATCCAAGGTGGTACTGCTGAAATGTCACGTACCCAGCGGCAACAGCAAAACACTGTCAGGGACAACTTTATACCAGGGTACTTAAAGTAAGATGAAAAAACTCGCATGAAGTACAGAGAAGAAACTAAAACAAACACTTCCACTTAAAAGCCATATAGAGATTTTTAGCATATTTAAAAGTGGATTATTGGAAGCCTCCAGCAACTAACACTTTTATGAAGGGCCCAGTCTAGAAGCACGGTGCTAACAGACCTCTACTAAATGTTCCCAGATATTTTGGTAATACTTTCAAATAAAGTCTATTAAATGAAATCAATTATTTCTGAATGTTTGTTGCTAGCAGAAATTTAGTTTCTCAATAGTTTTATTGTTTCTGGGAGGTAAAGGATAATAAAATTAACCAGCCACCCCACAACACAGGGAAAAGTGCCATGAGTTAAGGAATTAAGCAATACTCCTGTTTGTTAGCATAAGGGGTGAACACTCACTGCAAGATCTGCTCCACCATGAAAATGATTTCAGAGAAATGGCATAGTTCTCTCTTTGTGTCTCAGCGGTATAAGAAGCAGCTACCTTTAAGGTCTCCAAACTAAGCCAGGCATTTGAAAGTCAAGCCACGCTTTATCACATACTTGCCACCATTACTTGCTTAACATTCTGAAATCGGACCTTTAGCAGCTCTGCTGGATGAAACAAAAGAGAAGTCGGCTTTCACCCCACAGCTGCGATGGCTTCAGTCAACAAACAGCAGCTAGCTTATTTAATCTATTCACAAAAAAATCAACTGCACTCTGCTGTACATAGCTGAAATGGATCTATTAAGCCAGAAGCCAGGTTTTACAATCAGTTCAGTTGAGAACTACATCTTTCTTTAGTAAATGAAGATGAGTCTTCTTTCTCTAAAGAAAAAAAAGCCTCCAAACACAATACCAGACCATCCCTAATAATACCTCCATTGGAGGAAATAAAAAAAAAAAATTCTAACATAGGACTCTCACCCCCTGCCTCTCCCAAGCAAGACAAAGCTAAGAACAATCGTGACCTAAATGCAAGCACAAACTATAGCAAAGCTCATGTATAGTTTGGGCTGGAATCACAATTAAATAAGCAGCATAAGTTCTAGGTTGCACTCTAATATTTATTTTAACTTTCCAACTATAAAACCTCATTGTACTGATACGGCCAACGGCCCTTTGGTACCACCTGAAAGACATTTAAAAAAATTGCCCAAGGAGGACTTGACAGCCATCAACTGGAATGAATTGCTCTAATCTCTAGTACAGAACTGCCTTTGTAAGGACCCAACTTTCCATAAGTAGACTAAATGCATTTTAAGTAATTATTCCTTGAAATAGGCAGACAAAACATTTAATTAAACATAGAAAAATTCAAGGCATTATTGATTATTGGCACCAGTAATACAGGGACAACTGTTATTCAAAGGAAAGGTTACACATCGTTCATACATGAGATTCAGTGTGAACCTTCTCTCACGATACTTGGATTTAGACAGAATTTTCGCTCGCCTAAATCAATAAAACTGCTGTACTTTAAATGCAAGTTTTCATACAGAAAATACTCATTACTCACCTGACAGAAGTGACAATCCCAGCTACATGAAGGAGTGCATGTATAGACAAATAGTATAAACAAAAGTCTACAATGCAGTTTCTGTCACTGATAAAAGTTCTCGAAGGGAACACAAGTAAAGAACCCATAATCTCATAGCGTATTTCACCAGCCATGTTTTGGGATTTAATTTTTCCTGCCCTTTTTCAACCTTGCTTTACATTTTAAAATGTTGGTTTTAAGAAAGAGAGCACTGAAATTAAAAAATGTTATCTTGGCGAAATGTTACATGGTGAAATGGATTTTAAAAAAAAAACAAAACAAAAAACCCCAAAATTCTTTCCCTTCTAAATCCACTGTTTGGTTCTGCTGGGCAGGAATGAGACTGCTGTCCTTGTTCTGAAAAGTGCCAAAATAAAAATCTTACATGTACTTTCTTGTCCAGGTTTGTTACGATTTGGTTCTGCAAAAAGCAAGTTTAACATGCCAACGACAGTGGGGCAGATGCACCAATTTCTTTCCTCAGCTCAGAAGCATCATGAAAGTGTCTATTAACATTTGCAATTGCTCACAAGTTTTAGGCCAGTGCCTAAAATTGTTTCTGAACTGCTGTGGTTGCCTTAGCTTTCTGCAGAGGCGGGCAGGTGACTGGGATAGAGAAGAGGACTGGGAGGCCAACTTCCTATCTTTTTGTACTAACTGAACATCCAAACTGAGTGCAAACAGCTAGAAGCTTTCATGGTGCCACACCACAGAGGTTTCTTCTTTGGCTGAACTGCAGCATACAGCTTTCCCAAAAGAACAGGGAAAGGCTCTGGTGGAAAATACTGTCTGTACACTCTAATAGTCTTCACAGGACAAAAACAACTACTCAAAAATTACAGTGAGGAGAGGGTTGAATGATACTGCAGATAAAAATGAATCCAGCATCAGCGGATGTTACACTTCCTGGTCTTTACAGAAATAGTAATTACTGCAGGCCAGGAAAATGAGCAGCAGTAATGAAAGGCTAAAAGGGTAAAGGGAAAAATAACTCCAAGCAAATAAAAGAACACCACAAGGTATCTGGCTACATTTATTTCTGAAATTATTCTTTAAGGCACAAAATAAATCTAAAAAATAGGGCTGGATGTATGGGGAGAGAGGCAGAGAAGTTATCTGAGCTAGAGAGGTGTGAATGCAGTCTCTACACTCCAGTTTCAGATCTGACCTGGGAACATTCCCACTGTGAGTGGGGGAGGATGGTGAAAGTAGAGGAGCGTTCTTATTTAGGCAAGGTAGGAGGTAGTGGGGTGATTTTTTTTCTCCTACCAGCTCCAAGTTTACACACGTTGGTTCCCTGGCCAGACTCAAGTTCCCTTCCCTCCCCTCAGAGAAGTTCATTACAGTTTGTAAAATAAGACCAGACCACTCAATCTTCCAGTACAAAAGTGAGACCTTGAATCACCCTTCATATCACAGCATGCTCACAGAGCGGTGGGGGGCAAGAGGCAACCCTGTTCTTGCCCTCATGTTAGTGCCTTGGTAGGTATTACAGATGTGTATGTTTTGCTTCAGACAAATTGTAATTTAATATTTTGTTCCCACTCTGAAGCAGAACCCCAGGTATCCAGGCTACCCTTGGATAAAGGGTAGGTAGGTATCTAGGTGGAACAGCTGTCATGGAAGGGAAAATGAAATTTTCAAATGGCCCATGACTTGAGCTATCCAGAAAAAACAGGCTCTCTTGCTGCAGGTGAGACTTTATTTTTCTTTTGGTTCTGAATGCACGTAGTGTATCACACAACTGTCTAAAGTAATCCTGCAGAGAGTGGATTTAAAAGTGAATTTCATGCATGGGATCAACCCCCCCCAAAACCAGGGTAATTCTTGGTAGTAGGACAGGTTTAAAGGCTCCAAGATCTCTAGTTTAACTGCTCTGGGAAGAGATCACATCTGTGGACTGGGGGTCACAGAAAGGTCCAAAACGTCCATAGATGTCCTTAGCCCGGACTGCAAAGTAGTATTTGCTGCCAGACACAAACTGTGTAAGAGTGCATGCCATAGGTAGCGGGAGGGCCTTCACTTCCCCGATCTTCTTCCACTGGGAGGGCATAGTGGCACTCGGGTCCTCGTGGTAGGCGTAGAGATGGTAACTGTCCACAGTGGCACAGCTCCGGTCCACCTCCATGACACTCCATGACAGCACAATACCGTTCTGGCTCTGTACCCGTGCCAGCTTCAGCTGCGGCTTTTGAGGCAGAGAAGTGTTGGCAGCTTCAGGGGGCAGACGTGGTGGCTGTGGTGCCTCAGGGAGTGGGGCAGGATGTACAGGGCGTGGTGGCTCCTAAGCAATGTAAGAGCAGTAAGGGAAAGGTCAGAGCTTACAGCAGTGGAAGGAGGCTTTAATTCATCACTCCCCAAGCAAACGGAAGCAAATGAGCCTGCAATCACCCAACCATCACAACTCTTAAGTCCTGTGTGCAGAGAGCACACAGGCAAGAGAGCAGCAGCAAAGCTTGAGAAGGGGTGGGCCCAAGGATGCCGTAAGTTCTTATTATTCGCATATAAATCCCTAGCTGTACAGATGACCATTGTTCACACTGTGCCCTTTACCAAGACTGAGCAGGCAGGTTCACACTGACTTTGAGCTAATCTACACTTGAGCTGCTGTTCCCACATTACCCAAAACACCCCAGGCAGTGGATTAAGCTGACAACTCAGCTTAACAGGCTGAGTTCTGTTCTCAACAGGCAGGTTTTCAGTCACAAAAGGAAGAATGGGTAACGGTGCCACATGGATTTTTATCACCTTAAATTGATCACAAAAGCTCAGCCTCAGTTTCCAGAAAATTTTGAAATAAGTGCACAAATGTGGCTTTCCACTGATTTTTTTATACCACAGAAACAGTCCTAGGTCTCTCATTTATGTTAGTTAAGATGAATTTAGGAATGTGGTTACAATGAGTACAAAATTTTGTTACTCTTCAAGCCAGGGGCCTTTCAGGTTGGAATCTGGGGTAGTTTTTGTCATCTTAAGTGTTCTGTGTGATACTGGCTTGATTTATTTTCATTATTTATCACTGGAGAATGCATGAAGGTGTCTAGATTGGAAGAATGGTGAGCCACCTTGTTGGCAATATATTACCGTTTCAGGACATCACAAGTGATGTGACTGCCCAACAGTGAGCATGCAGGCAATGTATTTGGTTCAGTCTCAACAACAAAATTGTATGAGTCAGAGTAAATTCTCAAATACTTACAAAAAGGGGTTTGAGGTGATGCAGAAGTAATCACTCCCAACAGTGATTAAAAAAACCCTCTGAAATTTGGGAGTTGGCAACCTTGAGAATCTTGTCTATACCTTGTCCTCCTACCTCAGTTTTGCAAACAGCTGTACTGAGAAACTGGTCATCCAATTCGTAGCCAAACCATGATTAAACTTTTTAGTGGCAGTTCTTCTGTACCCTTGACGCCACAAGTCACCTGCAGACAATTCATGCACCATTTTTCAATATGTGCTACTGGTGATCTGGAGAACTCTGGGGTAAGCTAACAGATCGCATAGCTTTTACCATTCTTGGCAAAAGTTGCTGTAGGTGATAGGGTGGTGCTATGCACGTGAACTGGCTGCAAAGTGTCTACAAGGGATTTCATTATTCTGCAGTTCACACTAAGAAGCAATCTGAAAGACATTAATGCAGAGACAAGCCTGTAAATTGCATTAAGTAATTTCAAAAGGACTACTCACAGCATGCACTTGGGGTGGTCGATGATGCACTGTAAGCTGAGGTGCTCCAGATCCAAGAGCTAGTCCGTTGTTCACAACATATGCAGTTGTTTGAGGCATTCGTACTGTCATACCTGTAAGAAGCACAGTGAATACTTTGAGTATTCAGTACTTAAAATCAGCTAAACAGAACACTGGAAGACCAACTCCTTGGTGCAGTTGGATGACACCAGATTTCAAACTGACACACTCTCCTCGAACTGCCAGCAGACTGATGAAGTACTGCACAACAACAAAACAACCTCCCATCCCCTGAAGCTGTAAAAGTGAAAGAGAGCAAGTGCTTATGTCTGCAGAGGGGACAGAATGATGTTTTAATAATTTGTAGCATGAAATAAATGGATGGGGAGGGAAAGTGTGGGAGATACAGGGAGCTTAAGTATGAAAAGAAAAATTACATCACTTTGGGATTCAGAAAGAAAAAGACAAATGCTGCTGCAGCAGAATATCCACTCAGTATTCAAATGCCAGAAGGTTGGGCTGTGGATGGCACCAAACCCAAAAAAGATAAGCCACTGTCCAAGAAGACTGTCCTCCCTCACAGAATGGACACCATGATGGATGTTACAGGCATTACCATTTCATTCATTCCCACAACAAACAGATCTGACTGGCAGGAAAAAACTAGGTAATTTTATAGCCTTGTAGAGAATATCCAGAACTCTTGCAAACTACCAAGTTTTCATTCATTTATACTACATCTCACTCTCTTAAGTAACATTTTGCCTGTTTATTGTTGGAACATGTATGTTCTGTGAGCTCAAAGCTTTTACTCATTGTTATGGGTTGCCCAGGGTGTCCCTCCATCTCTGGCTAGAAATAAAAGATCTGGGGCAATCTCCACCACCTCCTAACTCCACCCTTGTGTGAGATCTAAGCATTTTAATACTCCAGAAGAGAAGCTCGCAGAGCAACACATCAGGAAACCACAGCTATTGTATGGTAATTTCTTCTCTATATAACAGTCATCAAGCTATTATCATAGGTGATGAGTGTCAGAAGTCTATGTAATCTGTGAGTCTGAGGCAGGAAGCTCAGAGTGCTCAGTTCAGCTCAAAGTGCTGAACTCTAGGTAGCTGCTTCACATCTTTTTCCTACTGGCACATCTATCTAAGAAGCTAACGAAGCTGTGCAAACTCCTGTAGGATAAACCTGAACTGGCTGTTTCTCATCTATGAGAATCCAATCAGATATGCTGTTCTAGCATGACTGTGATTCTATCTCAGGAAATTACAATAATCTGAAGAAATGTGTTCATAAGATAAAAGGTACAAATTTAGCATTATTTTAGGTAGGCATACTACTTAGCTGAGGTAGAAGTACAAAACTACAATTTGCAGAACACTTTGGATGAGTTCTCACAGTTAATCTTTCAAAGATAAAGTGCGGAGATCTTACTTCTGAAGCGTTTGCAGTACTGATGCTAAAGACTGTTTCAATGATAATATAAACCAATAAACATCAGTAGCAGCATTTCTGAAAGCTGTATGACAAAGATGGTGAAAAATGTAGAATGGACTAAAAGATGAAAACTCATGACAGCTAAAAGCAATCAAGCAGCATGATTGCTTTTTTGTTAACAATATGTGAAACCTCTCTATCCGGTATGCAAATATAAAGCCTTGAAATAATCTGTATTCTAACTAAACTGGTCTTTTATCTACTCAGGCTAACCATCTGGCTTCCTTGTCCTGAGGTACAGGGAGTGCACAATGCTATGGAGGAACCGTCATTTTTCTTACGTCTTATGTAGCTTGTTAGACAATAGTACTGTATAATACGCAGACATACTTTTCAAGCCAGAGTAACAGAACTGCCTCTAACAGAATCACAGAAAGTCCAGGTTTGAAGGGACCTCTGGAGATGATCTGGCCCAACCTTCTGTTGAAAGAATGCTCTTAAGATTAGGTTATTCACGGTCTGGTCAAGCTGAATCTTAATTATTTTTGTGGAAACCTGCCTTGATTTCTGAGAATTTGTAAGCAGACAACTGAAGGATAAGCATTCATTGTATCACTGGACCATCAGGTCAGAAGCACAATTGCACAGAGATCTGTTTTTGGATGACCTTGTCTGAAAAACATATGAATTCCTTACCTCATGGAGTTCTCCTAGAAAAGGCCTTAAAATAGCATATTACCTATTATATGTTCTTCAACAACACATTAATTGTCTTGCATGTCTAACACCAAAAGGTATTCTGTAGATATTAATACTAGTGATGTGTATTTTTTCATAATAACTGCTCTACGAAGATTCTGACAAAAACATGTATTTTATATTTTGGTACAAAAAAAAAGAAAATACTATTAAAATAATTAACATAAGTGAATGCACAGTTAACTACTCAAAACTCCTTCCAAAACAACAGGTAGATCACACATGTCTAACTTGTAGCTAAGGATAATGATGAAGAAAAGTGTGGGCTGAGGTTACCTTGCCTTTTATGGCCTTTTGCCAACAGGAACACAAAATGCAGACACGCCCCTCAAAAAATACTGCTGGTCAGAAGAACCTGAACTCAAATGCACATGGCACAAGAAGTTTAAGCAATATGAACAAGTACTCTGAAAAGGACAGCAATTTCCTCACACCCCGACATTTCATAGAGATAGTTCACGAACTGTCTGATCAACTTCTGTTTAGCTAGCACAGCTGTTTTTTCACAGACTACGGCAATGCAGCTGAATCCAGTCGTAAGAGATACTTAGAATTAAATTGCTACAAACAAACATGGATATTCTGCTTTCCAACAACTATCATTTCAGCACAATGAATCAATTATTTCTGCACAAACCTACATAGGTACAGTCTTACATGGCTCAAGCACGCAATGTTCTGAGTCTGGCTTATACAGATGGTGTCTAAAAAAATCACTACCTGGATATCACAAAAGTAAGCTCATACTCAGTGCACTAGAACAGGGAAATTTATGTTTAACATAACGGTGTTAAAATAACCATAGTGTAGAAATTGTGGGGAGCTAAAATAAAGCAGTTAAGATCCACCACTTCATAACAAAATATAAACTATCATTTAACTTTAAGGTCTTTATTTTTGGCATCTACTACTCATTTCAGAAAATGAGTTTACTGCTATGGGAAGATACCAGTTACATGTTTGCAAAGTCAAGATGAACTCGCTGACATCTCTAGTCAAGGAAACTCAAGCATGCATCAATTTCTGATACATTTGGTGAGAAATTTCATCTGTCCAGGCCTAGAGAAAATAAGAAAATTTGCTGGGCACAGGACATCAGAGATTGTTAAGGAATTACATCAGGATGCCTGATATAAATGTAACTTTTAGACAGGAAATCAAACATGATTTACTACATATTTCTATATTTTAATCTTACTCCATAGTAACAAAATGGTCTCTAACTAACTTTCTACAAAACAGTGGTGTTCATCACATTACCTTCTGCTACCTTGTAAAGTATTGGACATGTCATCCAGAGATGCTTAATTGGCAAAGCCAGTGCCTGAGATGACTTAAATCCAGTTTTTCCTCATTCGCATAGCTGCAGGGGGAATGATTTCTTCATAGCCTAAGACTTTCTCAAGTCTGTAAGCTGGGGAAAAAACCCTTACCTCTGTAATTTGAACTAGTATTGTAAGAAAACCAAACAACAAGCCCAAAACAAAAAACCAAACCCCACATCCATCAGCTAGAACATATCAAACTGTGTCGTGCTAAAATGTGCATGGAAGAAAGCATCCCCTACCTCCAGCCTGTGGGTTGACTGGCCTTAAGCCTGGGCTTGGCATGACAGCTCCTCTTACAGGATTCTGAGCCGGTGGTGCAGGAAGAGTGGTATAGACCACCTGGTGGTTAGCAGGGGCTCTTGGTATAGGAAGTTTTGCAGCAGTTTGAGTCACTGGCCGATGAGTTACATTCACTGTTGTCGGAGCTGGAAAAAGACAAACAGACCACAACCTAGAATGGAATTCCACGACATTAAGCTGATATGCCTATTCCAGAGTACATACCTCCTTTGGAAAACTGACTTATGTGAGCCATGCAAAATAAAAACTGTCTCTGTGAAATTCTATCTGCTTTTGATAATGCAAGAGAAGAGAAAACAGCCTAAACAAACAGTAATTTTCACCTGAAATAATAATGCCAATATATATACAAATTCCAAACAGAAAAGATAAATGTAATACCCCCCCCAAAAATAAAAAAAGAAGAAGGTCCTGAATGTAAGCACAGCTGTGGAGAATATAAAACCCACCACCAAAGAGTGTGTAGAACAGATCAGTCATAAGACAATTCCAATGCCAACAAAATGCCTTCAAAAACCATCTACAGAAGAAGAGAGTAAAATAAAGAAAAAAAAAGAGGAACTATGTTTCTTTATGTTAGAAAGAAAAGGGGGGGGAGGGGAGGGGAAATCACACTGCAGACAAAATAACATTTAACTAGGGATGGAACTTCTATGTCAGCCTTGCCATTCACTCTGCCAAAAGGATTAATTGCCAAGTGCAATCCCTAGCAGGATTTCTTCCTCTCCATGGAATTAATTTGATCCTGAATTCTTTCCAAACCAACAGGACTATCTTTCCCTTTCACTTAATCAGTTTTAAAAAAAAAGTTATGGGAAACAGCCTAGAAGGGACGATTAAGAAGTGACACAAACACTGTGAATATTCATCTGAGAAGATTAGCACAATGTAGAATGCGCAGGAGTCTAGTTTAAGAAAAAAAGCAGTCACTGCATTCACATAAGGATATAAAATGAAGTTACCTGTAGGTAATACATGTATGGTGGTCTGGGAAGGTCCACTTGTTGGCACACCTGTCTGCTGCACAGGGTTTGGCTGCAAAGGCTGCAAAGGCTGCAAGGGTCGAGCCAAGGGCTGGGTGGATATGCTCAATCCTGTAACAGGTGTCTGGTTCGGCTTCTTGCCATCTGCTTTAAACCAAAATAAAGTTATAGACAATAGCAAACAGAAATTAGAACATCACAGAGTTTTTAAATCTTTCTTTCCCCCCTGTCATTCACAGATTAGCAAAGAATATTTCCTAGCATGACATTTCTTGGATCTTTTCATTCTGCAGACAAAACTGTAGAAAATTCATTCAATTCCCCTCACTTTCATCATCTCAATCTTTTCCCCCTCCCAAACTCCGTAATGTTTCATTCTATCATCATGAAGTCTGCGTATTTCAGCATAATTTGGAAACCTGAATTTAATGGAACACTGTGCCAAAGTCTTTAAAAGTTTCTATTAAAAAAACGAATAGCCTAAAACCTTAAAAAGGCCTAAATACTGCTGTATTCAATTTGTTTCAAAAAACTGATAGAGCTCTCTAAATCTTGTCTACCCTTGTTGCTTACATCCTTTTGTTATTTGCTGACTCCTTCCTCTGTTCAAACTGTTAGTCAGCCCTGTTTTTTGCTGTTTTGAATTTTCATGCTATTTTCTTAAAAAAGGGGAATTGCTTTATTATTTATAGAAAACTTTAAAAAGAGAATTTAGTTGTTTTCTCACATTGACACCCTCCTCAACATGACTTACTGACTTGTGAGAAGTGACATATAGTGTCTGCATCTGTAGTTTACTACAGCAATGTTTTTTCCTGCTTTAGTTTATTTGTGACAACATAAAATATTTATCTGAGTGCAAGTCTGTGTGTAATCAAGCCTGTGCACAAGTTGCATAAAGAAGAATTGAGAAGCTTTTGCCTGGATATTTCAGCTAGATTAGAGTAGTAGTGGGCAGAGAAGGCACCACCAAAAACTAAAAAACACAAGATAAAAGAGTAGGTTTTAAGGGCACTCATTCAAAAAAGATTTGCGCTAATAAAATTGTACATGCAGCAGCCACTAATTTAGTAAAAGAGCGCACAATATAAAAATAAAAAATACATTAATACATATTTTACTCTTGAAAAAACATATCAACAATATATTGAAGAACACATTTAGAAACTATCAATTAAGTATACTAACTACATTTCAAAGCATTAAGAACAGGGTTAATGGTAATGTAGCTCAAAACGTTGGGTTTTTTAGCAGTTGGAGACTATTTTGATGGTCTCACTGAGCTGTCTTTAACACCAGCTACTAACAGCTTGAAGTAGCAGTACCCTTCACAAACTGCTGTATGATAAATTAAATACAATTCTGTCTTTCTGTAGACTGAACAGCTGATCTACTTCACTGAAGCTATTTGACGAAAATAATAATTTTCTTTTCTTTCTTTTTTCAAAGTCTACAAAAGGAGCAGTAAAGGGATGCTCATTTTGAAAACAAAAGGTGAGATGTTTCCTGCTCTTTCATCAACTAACAGGTTTTGTAATTATTCAAGCTTCTTTTATTTTCCACGAGTGTGAGAGACTTCCCAGTATTCAACAAATTATTTGACTCTGAAGAGATTCCTACAGAGATGCATACACCTGTTTACTGTGAATATGTGCAGACTGATGCACATTTCAACTGCCATTGGATAATTTAAGTGATGCAAGTGCATTCCGAGTCATGACCTAGAGAAGACGTGCTCGTGATCCAACTAGTAAAAACCCTGACACACTACTGCTGTAAAAATGTAGTTCAAGTAAAAATGACAGTCTGGACAAATGTGAGGGCTTTTTTGGTTTTGGTTTTAATCTCACGCGGAAGCAAGCTCATTTGCCCCTGATAAATCAAAGCCCTGTGGAGATCCTAGTTGTCTGATAAAATAAAGAAGAGAGGAAATGCAAATCTAGGCTGTATTGGGTGAGTGTTTCCACAGCGTGACGGTAATACTTTTTTCCTTCCTACATGGAACGCTATTTGAATGCAAACTGCTGTATGTAAAAAAGGGGTTGGAAGTTAGAGACACATGTTTCTGTGTAAATAAAGGAGTGGGGTTTCAAAATGCCCAACCAACAGCTGATGAAGGACAGCTACTCTGTTTTGTAGGAGTATTATGTCCAAACCCAGTGGCTCAAGCACATGATTAGAGGCCCTAGTCACTATAAAAAAAAACCCCCAAAACAAACAACCAAAAAACAACCAAAAATCCCCCACCCTCAAACCCATGATTAGCCCTTAAAAATAATGCACAGGGTTTTGTCTATCTACCATGACTGAAGACTGGGCTTGATGACAGTCTATACAGGTGTGGTCTTCCATAACCCAATACATAAACTCTAATTTCAGTTTTACAACCTCACAAAATAAACCCCCTAAAAATTCCATAGTTCTTAACCTAAAGTTTAAGTCTAATTTACCCTATATGCATACTTTGGTATACAGTATTACAGATACTAATTTTAATTATTGATCCAAATGCAAACGTCATTGGAAAAAGGAAGGGATGGAGAGTAAATTACATGAGCAAGTTTAAAAATCTACCACAATGTTAAAATTTACTCTCAACCCGAATCTTTAGTCAACCAACAAGGACACACATTGTAGTTGTATACTACCAAAATAGCGTAACTTTCTTTCCTAGTTGTACCAGGAGAGATTTAAAGGGAAGCACATAACAGACATCTCTCTCCAGACATTAACAACTATTTAAATACCTTTTATAAGTAACAGAATTAGGTTTACCTAGTATGTGGGTGACAGTGCTTTAAATAAAATAATGAGGATCTTGAGTGTTCTTGGGAACACTATATAGGTGTTGCTCTTCTATTTGCATTAGTACTGAACTGATATTCCAGCATACTGCAGTAAACACCATAATGCTGGAGGTACTTTCTATCCTGAGGTTGCAGACCAATAAATCTAGAACAAAATAAAACTTGCTCCACATTTGCTGTAAACAAAGTTCAGTGGAAAAAATATTTGGCCAAAGGTATATACATGCTTATGATTATGCAAAAGCTGTCAGAAGTGTATTTTTCCTCTGTTTAATGTGAATGTTATTATCACAACACGTGAATTATTTCCCAAGAAACTTGCTCAAAATCCTAGAGGTGTGTTTTCACTGCATGGTGAAACTCAATCTTTTATTAGGGTTTTAGTCCATACATTTTCTACAGCTTATATCAAAAATACTGACTCCTCACAAACTCTAAACATAAACTAATCTGCAAGGCTGCAGACTATCAGTGAGAGTCTGGCTTCTGCTTTGCAGTGAAGAGACACACAGGAGCTAACCCCGCCTGAAAGTACTTAGAGAAGCATTCTTATAGTTGCACATACAACCATAGTGTTGATCTTTTATGGTAATTGGGAGGTGAAGACACGCTTTATGCAATCAGGGAGGAAAAAACTCTCTGAAAAATGTTACTTTTGATAGAAAAAGTTTAGCTGAAATACATTACAATACTGTGACATACTACTTTAAAACATACCATAAATCCATTTAGATCTGTTGGTGCCTTTTACAGAGTATTAAATAGGACCGGGTAGCTTAACCTTACCTGACAGAGTTCCACAGTCCCAGTGCAACCATCTTTTTTATCTTTTTGAGAACTAACCCTCAGAAGAGATGACAGTGGTAAAAACTTGATTCCCTATGCTATTCTGACATTCACCTAAGCCATTCACAGAATCATCAAAACCCTGGCTGCAAAGGACCTCTGGTGGCCCTGTAGTCCAACCTCTTGCTGAAGCTGGACTGCCACCAACACTAAATCAAATGAGTTGCAGTTTTGCCCAGCTGAATCTTGAGAACATTCAAGAGTGGAGTTTCTACCATCCCTCTGTGCTGCACTACCTTCCTACTGTGATTTCTTTTCCCCTCAAGATCAACCTGAACCTCCTGAACTTGTAGTTCATGGCCACAGCCCCTTGATATATCATCTGGCACTTCTGAGAAGAGTTGTGCTCCATCATCTTTGTAACTATCCTCCAAGTAGTTGTAGGCTGCTATTACATTATCCCTCCGTTTGCTCTTTGCCAAACATGCCATGGTCTGTCGATCTCTTCTCACGGGTCATGTACTCCAGGCCCCTGCCATCCTGACACCATCTATTGGGCCCTCTCCAGTGCTACCACAACTCTTCTGAACTCAAGGAAAGGGGAGCTAAAACTGGACACTGTATTTCAGGTGTGGTCCCACTAGTGTCAATGTGGGGGGAATATTAACTTAAATTTAAATGAGAACACACTGTTGGCTCATACTCAATCCAGTGTCCACCACATATCCTCTGCTGATAAAAGAACCAGACTGTCAGCTATCTGAATTGCATAATGCTTCTCTAATACTTGAGTACCACATGAACTCCTTTTGGTGGTAACATTACATTTCTCCCTCACTGAAAGAAATGCTACCACATGCCAGTATGATTTTCTGCATTTGTGTAATGCAAATACAGAGCAAGTCAGAATATTAAGAATGTACGTGTAGAACTTGAACGCACTAGCTAGAGAGATAGCTACTGAGGTTGTTTAGAGGAATCAAACTCCTGGGTGGCTGGACTTCAGAATGCAGCGCAGGAGCATGCATTTAAAGACCACGCAGAATTAAAATTTTATCTCTAATAGTAGAAATACCAATTTTTCAGTTAAGATGACAGTGCAATACATAGACTTAAGTACAGACTTTTATTACTTCTCTGAAATACTATAATTCTTCGCTAATCCAATGCTAATTATAATTAGACCTGCCTAGAGTTACACAAGATCTATTAAAAAAATGTATTCTTTTAAAAGATGAAGTGCATCCACACTGCCAAAGGATGTAAGAGCACAACTATATTTACTCTAATCTTGGCATACAGTCCTAAACCAAAGAACAGATCTGCATTTGGTATCTAAACTCTTGCACACAACAAAACAAAAAGATTAGAAGCTGTAATCATCTAATGCCTGAATACCAACTGTACAATTAAAAAGTCTTTAATTAGTCAGTAAACAGAAAAGTGAAATACATCTAGAAAAACTTTCCAAAATATAATAAAGAATTCAAACATCTCAAATTATTCCACAAGCCTAACAGATTTAAGCATAGACAGCAACATTGCTCAAATTAAGGGAAAGGTAAAAATCTTAAAGACTGTTCTACAGTAAGTAGAATTCCTTTTATTTCATGCCTATCAGAATTCTTTAACAGTCCTGTTTAACTGAAACACCAAGGAATAAAATACACTAAGCAGAAACAGGAGTTTATTCCTTTCTATCATTCAAGGGATGAAATAATACTTGTAGCTTAATTATCCCTGCAACTAGCAAAATCTTTTTTACCTACCTTGAGAAGAGCCATCATCCTCTTCATCCAGTGTAAGATCAATGACACCTCCTGAATCGCCTCCTGTGACCTTCCCGCTCTGAAAGACAAAACTCCTTCATTTTGCAAAAGCAAATCCAGGGAACACACGTGGAAAAGGGATACGAATTGAACATTGAGAAGGAGAGGTCTCAGAATTGATGCAGTGATTAGAAAGGAACTGATGAAGTGAGCAGGATGAGGAAATTTCAGACAAATTTCCCAGAACTTGAAAAACAGGCAATAACCAAATGACTGTACTGCGGTAGCAACTATTGAAGTATTTTTAGCTTTGTAAGGAGTAAAAAAACCCTGGTGACCAGTAGCATATTGTTATTTTACAGATAAATAATTAACAATTTGGTGTTATAGAGTATCTTTCAGTTACGACTCTTAATATTTTAATCCGGTTGTAATCTGTGCTTTCCTCTGTAGCAGTATAACCTTTTGACAGAACAGTCACCAGGACAATATATTACTTATCTTGAGACAGCTTGGCCTATGTGCCTATAAAGAAATTGACTTCACAGTAAGAAAAAGAGAAAGTTACACTGGAACCTGCATGGTTATAAAACATGTCATCAAAAGCCATCAGAAAACTCCAATTGTATCCAGCTTTTAAAAGTAATTTCATTACTGTATTTTTATCCATTATCACAAATTTTAGCATTCTATTATTGTACATATGAAGCCATTTGTAACCATTTCTTTAGAGAGGATAAAGGGATCTTTTAAGCTATTGTGAAAGCTAAATGTTATAAAAAAAACTAGAGGACATGAAACAAAATTTATCTTCTGGATCAATTGCTGTCCCTTGGCTGTTCAGACTGGAGGGATCACCAATGTTTTCCTTTAGGTGATGGAAAAAATACTGGGGGAGGTCCTATATATTTCTGTGTTTTTAAATATACTTTCTAGAAAAAAAATCTTGAATGATGTCAATTTCTAGTTCTTTAAACTTGCTGCAAAAATCAGGGGTTTTTTTTGTTTTGTAGAAGAGATGATCGTTTATTGTTGGACTGAATTGCTACTGATTTATGGATTAGAGTAAAACACACAGACAAAGGGTTTGGAAAGCAACATAATTATCAAAATCTCTGAACAATTAACATGGAAGAAAGCATAAGAGTTATCGGCCCAACATGGCCTGTACAAATGCCAACATGATAAATCCTAGGAAGATGAGAGATTTTTCTGTGTAGTCTGATGGGGACAGAAGCAAAAAGCCTAAGCATTGAGATTATCTGCTCTATGACCTTTCATTCGGGTAAAACTAAGCCTTTAAGGAGGTCCTAAAGACAATTCTCATATAGGCAAGGAGAGGGAAAAGAGGTATGGTATGATTACTAAATGCAAACAAAAGCTGTGTCCAAATTATCGGTCACTGAATTTGGAGTGCCTGACATGACTGATCTCTTCATTATGCATTATTACAACCCGATTTCTTCTTAAGTTCTGATGCTGCCACTGATGAAATTCTGCTAATAACCTACACGATAGACAATTTAAGTAAGAAATACCTAACTGCTTATGTTCACAGGTGATAGAAGAGACCTCTGTACGGACTTTATCTTTGCTATACATTGAGAAACATCTGTCAGATTTATTAACCATGGAATTCCTGTTGAGCAATTTTGATTTCAAAGAGTTTCCAGCTCCAGTTTTCTTAGTATGATGAGCTAATTTACCCACTTGAAGCTTAAGATAAAAGGCACATTCAAATAATCAATGATTACTTGATTACCATAAAGTCAAGAGGAATTTCATTCCAATTTGATAATATTCCCAGTCAACGATGTGTATTTTGAACTATGGAGCTCTCTGCCAGCAGAGAGCAGATTGAAAAATGGAGGGGGAGAGTTATAAGGAACTGGAGAAAGAAAAAATGAACATTAGGCTATTAATTTCTCCCCACTATAAAATACATTAGTCTGAAGTAATTTCCTGTCAATTCTTCCTCTGGCAAGGAAATCTAAATTCTTAGAAAAATACTATGTATGAGAGCTAACTGTTTTGAAGCCCTACTTAACTGTGCCAGTCAAGAAAGTTCTTTGAATTTCCAAGTCAGCAAGTGTCACTTGCATGCATTTTTTATTTTGGTGTGTCTGGAAAGCCAAAATCTTAAGTTAGTTAAAGAGGCAACTATTAAATCAGCCAACAAGGTCTCATACCTGCACTTCTCAGGAGGAAAGACCTTCTTGTAGTTAGCCATACTATTCAAGGTTTTCTATTGAACAACCACCGTGGTAGCAATCTCCTCAACAGGAACTACCCATAAGTAGGTTAGGTTCTTTCCACAACCCACACTAGAAGTTGCAGATCTGCAGGGCAGCATTTTGCGTGGTGCTCTGTGGTACATCCCCCAGTCCTGGTTCCAGGGCAAACACTTTAGCTACTCCAAGAAGATGGTGTACGCCACACACAGCACACCCTGAAGTCCTGACTCCCCAACTAGATTCCGCTAGTTCACCGACCCTGCATCTCCCTTGAATGAAATTTGGAGGTACAGGAAAATTTTAAGGAAACTTGAAACACTGAAAATGCTGCACATTGTGTTTGCTGCCTAGGGGGGTATGGTGTAGGAGTGTTGTCACTTACCACCTGAATGGTTAAGACCTACAAATGGAACCATTTGAAATCATCCCTGCCAAAAGCAAGTAATAAATGGTTTTCAGAAAATCCTGTGCCCAACCAATCAAGAAAATAAAAACACCCCTTTTGAGTATCATGACTATTTTACTCAGAAATTCTCTCAGAGAAATTTGTGTTGCTACAAGGACTTGTGAAAACTCCGGTTTACAAAAGAGCTATGTTTGAGGAACGGCTAGAGAGAAACAACTGCTATTGCGTCTGTAAATAGAAGGGAGTGGGATTCTGAGGAGGAGAATGCCATGTCACACATCAGAAATGGAGATTTGGACATGCTGCTCTGAGCAAAATCAGAAACCAGCTTAAGGCGGCTTGCTGCCCTGATGAAGGCAAAAGGAAGCCTGACATTGGACTTTCAGTCATGTATGAAAACCGTCACATTTATGTCAAAAATTGAAATAAGAGAACAGGTCTTTCAGCTCCCAATATTAGATTTCAGCAAGCATTTGGGCAGAAACTGCTAACACAGAAAAGTGTTGGCAAAGTCAAGGCATTCTGGTCTGCTATCTGTTTTCAGCTTTCTCCAAACACAGGAAGCCAAGAACCTGAACCCACTTCAGCTGATCTCTGCAGAAGAGCAAGATGATGCAATCATTAACACCTTTTCATCAGTACAGTCACACTAGTGAAATAATTAAAACCATTTAATGAGAACCCGAAACATATGCCAGGTGCTTTAGTTCACATATTCCCTAGCAAGTCTGAATAACAGAAGATTCAGTCACCTTAGAATATCAAATAAGATGGAACAGAAACAAAATAACCATAGTAATGTGAAGTAATCTCTACCTACTTAAAGATCACAGTTACAGAAAAACCAAAGCAAACAAAACCACAACCCCCAAAACCACCATTTCATGATTTGTCAGAACCAGAGCACCAGTCTCCAAACACCTGAAGTGGCACTTAAATCTGATTGTTTACAACAGCACCTGGGTAGTTTCCAGTAATCAACAGAAAAAAGTTTACACTGAGATTTAAAATAAATGTAAACTGCCAAACTCCCTTTTCCATCCTTCTTAATAGCTTACATATGTTAATGTATATGCCTTTAAACTCCAAGTAAGTGGAAATCCTCCAAAATACTGTCATTCACACTGCCATTTTGGACCTGTTTTATCCATAGCTGATGAGGTAACTTTGTACAACCTGGAAGTATAACATCACAAACTGGTTAATCACAACTGTATCTGAGCTGCCTTAGTTTAAATCTTTCTCTGCTTTCACATAGCAGCCAGCAGTATAACAATTTTAACTTAACACAAAACAATGCAACGAAAAAATTATATTAAAAATGAAATTAAAAATTAAACCAACAAATCCTACTCTGAAACGCCAGTTTTAAAGATAAACATGAAAAAAATTTTTAGGAAGAAAGCAAGAAAAATACAAGACTTCATCTTCTTCCTGACTTCATAATTTTAATAGAGTCACACCTTTATTCTTCATCTGGTCGGTGAACTTCCATTACGATATTCTGCATAAAAACAATGTGTTCTGTAACGGAACATTTCATACTTAAGTCTAATGTAGATGCAGCCCAAGAAAATGCACACAACTTGGAGTTGAAAAGCGTAACACTAGGGGAAGTGGGGGAAGAGGACGGCAAGGTATGATTAAGAGCAGAAACAAAGGTGAAAAAAGGAAGCAGGAGGAAGAAAAAAGGCAGCACGGGAGAAGAGAATTACAAACCAAGCACCATCCGAGCACGCACCACCCCAAATACGGAAGGATGGTGCGAGTGTATTGTAATGCTACTCCGCTATTCTCATTCAGTGTTGTGCGCTTTTCCTGAAACAGCCAGCCAAGAAGGCGGCACTTCGCATTTACAATCTTGATCTGTTTTGAAAAGTGTTTTCTTTAAAGAAAATCTTGTCAAATTGCAGGCCCTCTGCCCCAGCTTCTTCAGTTTGCAGAGTCATGTCCACACCTACTGCATTTACCCATATATAACTATCCCTGGGGTCTGCTTGCATGCCAAATGCCCCAGGCAAGCATCTAACTTGGTAAGTGGAAAAGAAGGAAAAGTATTTAATGCCAAACACATAACTTGTGAAAGCAGCAACTGAAAGACCCTAGAAGAGCAGCAAAACCAAGAGTACATCCTCATCCCTTTCAAATATCTGAGTGAAACCTGGTAAGTCCTGAAACAGAGGCTAAGTCATAACCTTCTCTAAACACCACTTAATTAGTTAAGTGTAAACTGCTTTATAGTGCATATGGAAGATAAAATAATGAAAAGTATGTATAAAATGAATGCAACTGTTCAGATTTGTGCATTTTTCTCACTTAAATTCTTAGAAATTGGTATTTCTAGTGTTCTGCTAGCTGCAAGACTTTTGCTGAAAAGTGATCTATAATTTTTTTTACCATGAAAACTACTAGAAACAGACCTTGCTTTAATTTCTTACA